TCCTCATATTCCAGATGGAATTTATTATTGTTTACTGTCGTCGTGCTTAAGAGAATGGAATAATACAAAGGTAGAAATATGTTATCAATGCGCTAAATTTTATCTGAAAGAAGATCACTACTACCTTATCGTTAAAAAAGAGCAATCGTACATAGGCTTACGATATTGTTATCAAAAAATGGCCGACGCTAAAACTGACCAAATGTTTAAGAGCAAAATCAGAGACTGTATACGCGAAAAGCATCCTCACGATATTGTACTGAAGAAATTGTCGTCTATAGTTGCTAAAAGAATGCCCAAGTTTTACAATGCGACATGTTATTTTCACGTTCGATGTCCAGAATGTCATAAGTTAACTAAAACAACGAGTAAATGTAATCTAGAAGGTAATAAGATGACTGAATGTGAACATTGTAAAGAATTATTTTCAAGTCAATCTGCAAAGGATTGGAAAATTGATGAGGAGGAGCCAGAAATATGTAAGTTATACCTGAAATTTGATTTGCTAGTGTAATTCTAATTGGATCTTAACTAGAATAGCGATCATTATACAATTCACAGTACAATATATTAGTATCTTTTATCAAAGTAATATCGATGTTGAGATATAGTACATGATTATTTTACAAATTATTAATGCAGAAGTATCAATTTTCAAGTAATTCAATTTTATATCACTAATTAATTACATCTATTTTCAAATTAGCCGTTTCGAAAGAAGTAGATCCTAAAGAAGTAGATATCAGGTATCAATTCTTTTGTATTGCAAATTTAATCGAAACGGACTGGAAAAAGTTAGCAGCTATATTAGATCCGACAATTAGTACTGAAGTTATCCAAAAACAAAATCGAAACGATGTATTTGGCCAAGCGATAGAACTACTAAATAAATGGTACAATAAATATCCAAATGTTGGTATTTGTCGTCTAGAAGGCGCTTTGAGACGCATAGGAAGAAGCGATATTGTTACTCGTATTAATCAAATTAATCAAGAATTAAATATATAAATATAAATTTTGTAATAATTTTACCATTATTTGCTTCTAAAACGAGCTAAATAGTGAAAAATGCATAAAAATTAACTAGGATATCAGAG